AGGAGCAGGGGAAGAGCAGAGAGAGAGGGAGACACAGAATCCAAAGCAAGCTCCAGGCTCTGAGCTGTCAGCACAGAGACCAACACAGGGCTCGAACTCACCAATGAGATCATAATCTGAGCCAAAGTCGGGTGCTTAACCGACTGAGCTACCCAGGCGCCTCTCAATCTGCTCTTTAAAACCTTTTAAAGGCTCCCTAGAGCCCTTGAGGTAAAAGTACAACTCTTTCCTAAGGCTCTGACCTCTCTGCGGCCATTTCTCACCACCCTCCAGCCCTTTGGAACTTCCATCCCTGGATAAGCTGTGCTCTCTTTCATTCTGATAAATAATTACTGAGCACCTACCACTACCATACAATAGATGCTGTTCTGGGTGGAGACACAGGGGGTGAAGGAGGCCAATTTGTGTCTGTGTGAAAAATACACCCTCTCTCCAGCTTGGAACACTCCTTCCTTCCCCTCCACCTGCCAACTGCTTGACAGACACAGTCCAAATACAGGGTCCTTCAGGTCTCAACTTGACACACTTTATTTCTGAGAAGCTGTTCCTAAACCCTAGCTGAACCCTGTAACCCGCTGTTCATGCATGTCTCCTTTGCATTTCTGCTTGTGAGGTTCTCTACTAATAAGCAACAAACCTAGTGAGGCCCTGGGCCACGCCCGCTCTATGGCAGTTGACAGCATTAGCACCTACCAGACAAGGTACTTAATAAGCACTTGTTAAACCAATTTCCAGTTATAGTATTTATAAGAATATGCGAAAAATATTTCATTATTATTGTCACTCATTGGCAAATCAAGGGACACCAAAAAAGACTTTATAAAATCTAAAAAAGTAAGTCATCATTCAGGGTGTGGTGAAGTCTTTTAAAAAATAAATAATTCTGCCGGTTTTCAAAATGAGTTATAGGATCAAAATTCTGCTATAAAGGTTTAAAAAAAAAAAAAAAGCCTTTCAAGAAAAGAAAACAATGCCAGAAGACTCCGGAGAAAGTGCGGTAGTAAATAAATGACAGGGATTTGCAAAGACAGCTGAAACATATGCTCTGTACCTCAAATTAATAATATTCCTCAGAGGATGCCTGGGTGGCTCAGTTGGTTAAGCGTCCGACTTCAGCTCAGGTCATGATCTCATGGTTTGTGAGTTCGAGCCCCACATCGGGCTCTGTGCTGACAGCTCAGAGCCTGGACCCTGGTTTGGATTCTGTGTCTCCCCCCTCTCTCTGCCCCTCCCTTGCTCGTGCTCTGTGTGTTTTCTCTCTCAAAAATAAATAAACATTAAAAAAAAATTCCTCGAGAATCCTTTGGAAGAAAGAAAAAACAAATCCTTCAGTAAGCTCTCTTCTTACATCATCTAACGTGATCACGGTTTAGGAGTCTTACAAAGCAAGGCCACCAGCAGCAGAAATGGCTAATGGGTGTCCTGTGGGCAAGACGCTGCTCAAAGAGCTTCACACACCTGTCAACTCACTCCATCCTCACAGCCACCCTAGGAGGGCGGGACATTGTTAAATCATAAACTTTACCAGTGGCAATATAGGTTCAACTAAATAATCTCTTAAAAATTACTCCAGATAATCTTGCCTTGATCTTTTACTTTTCTTTTCTTTTCTTTCTTTCTTTTTTTTTTTTTTTAAAGTAAACTCTACCTCCAACATGGGGCTCAAAATCACAACTCAGATCAAGAGGTGCGAGCTCTACCACCTAACTGAACCAGGCAGGTGCCCCTAGTCTTTTAAATCCATGACTGCGGAAATGGTTTTTTCCAAGGCGCCTGGCTGGCTCAGTCAGTTAAGCATCCAACTTCAGTTCAAGTCTTGATCTCACGGTTCATGAGTTCGAGTCCCACATCAGGCTCTTTGCTATCAACAATGAGCCTGCTTCAGATCCTCTGGCCCTTCTCTCTCCCTCTCTTTCCCCCTCCTCTGGCCCTTCTCTCTCTTCCTCTCTCTCTGTCAATAAATAAATAAACTTAAAAAAGTTTTCCCCAGAAATTGTAACTTTAAAAAATTTTTAATTTTAAAAAGTCAAGTAAGTGAATACTTAAATCTTTAAAGAAAAAAAGAGAGAGAAAGAAAAAAAACAACACTGCTCTACAATCCGGGAGGCTTCTCTAGATCACTGGAGGCCAGCAGTACGTTCTGTCCGTTGGTTACTGCGGCACCTAACGCCAGGCGGGCACTGCCACAAGAACACGGGGGCTGCAAGGTTTAAAAGGCTCTTCAGCGCCCACCAAGCCCTCTGACCAGCGTGGACGGCTGTAGACCTCTACACGTCCCGAGTAAGAGCTCTGGAACAACACTCATAGCTTTAAAAAGAAATGTATTCCTTTTTCCTTTTGTTTCCCCCCAGAAGAGTCACCATGATGCCAAGTTACTCAACGCGTGCAACCCCTCCCCCACGCTCAGGCCGCCCTTCCTTCCAGTGTCAGGACCGCGTCCATTCCGTTTGTGAAATGCGTCTTTGACCTGTTTCAGTCTAAGCCTGCTTTTACCCCTTCACATTCTGTCCACAAAACCAAACACTTAACTGGCCCATCTGCTTCATGATTTCTCTAACCACAAAGCAATGAATGCAAACGTGAGATCAGATTTTTTTCCCAGGGTTAAAAGAGTAAGACTTTTTGTTCACTGCCTTACTGGACTTACGCTAATAGGGGTTTCAAAATACTATAGCACGCCATATGGTCAAGACCAGATAATAAAATTGAGAGTATCTGTTACCAATCCACTAATACTTTTCAAAGCCAAAGTCTGTAGACAGTAAGAATTTAATCCAATTTTGAGACCAACATGAGCCAGAGAAACCAACACGGGCAGAGAAAAAACCACCCAACGAAGACACTATAATAGATGCCAATACCGCAGGTCGAAAATCAAATCAGTGTTAGTCATTACAGCCTGTATTCGCTAAAAAGCCAACTGATGGTAGGGAAGAAAGACTACAGAAATCCTCAAGACCTTTCTCAAAGCTATTTGCAGAAATACAACGTTTTCAATCAAACCAACTGAACAACAGGCAAATTTTTAGCACAGCAAAAACTAACAGAACAAAGCTTTAAAAAATAAGTTAACTCCTCATAAAATCAGTCCCTTTCTCAAGCTGCCACTAGACGTCTACCAAGGTGATTCAAGCTTTGCAGTCAGTCACTAGGCACACAACAATCCGAAAAGAGGTTTTAAGTTTTTAAAATCTGTTTTGAGATTAAAATTAAATTTGAGGAGGGGCACCTGGGTGGCTCAGTCAGTTAAGCATCGACTTCAGCTCGGTTCAGGTCATGATCTCACGGTTCATGGGTTTGAGCCCTGCGTCGGGCTCTGTGCGGACAGCTAGCTCAGAACCTGGAGCTGCTTCGATTCTTTGTCTCTCTCTCTCTCTCCCCCTCTCTCTCAGAAGTGAATAAAACATTAAAAAAAATTAAATTTGGAGAAACATACTTCAACACCCCCCCCCCCCCAACAGAAGTAACTCAAAATATCAAACAGAGAAATCTTTCCTAGGGTCTCATGAACGTCCTTCAATGGACATTAAATGGCCGAGCACTTGGCTGGTAATCTAAATGCAGCCCTGCTGTGGGCTCCAGTGTCAAGCTAGAGGAGTTTTTGTCTGATATGTGTGTTCATTAAGGAAAGTGTCAATTCTGGGTTAAAACTGCATGAACAATCTCCTCTACACACATGCATCCCAGCAGAGGAAATGTAGGCCTGACTCTGGTTCCCCAGCAGAAAAAAACGGGAATAAGCCACAGACACAATCACAAAACCTAACTTTGCTTTCCTCAATTCTCACTTCCTAAGAAAACCTCCTTAGCACTTACAATGCCTGTGAAGCCAGGAGCACTAACCTCCGGACAGACCTGCAGCGTCGCCTCACAAGCCTTAGACCACAGCCTCCCCCCCCCCCCCCGCCCCCCAGGGTCTGACCAGATTGGCCTCTACTGAGCCACTCCAGTTCTGGCCAACTCTAGTTGTTAGAAAGTTAAATCACGCCAAAAGCTGCCATCCAGTTGTGCTGTGTAGACGTTCTCAGACCAGGTTCCATGTTGGTGGCACCAACTCTGTCCCCACCCACACACCCAATATTAGTAAGGAAGCAAAAAAGGAACTGCCTATTCACTTTCTTGTTGCAATATATACCTCCCGGAAGAATCTAGAATAGACTCTACCTTAACAGAATTCAGACTAAGACCTCACTTTCAAATAAAGAACCTCTCTACTCTCAAAAAAGATTAAGGCTTCAAATTCAAAAGCAAAGAATTCTTGTAAAAATCTTACTGATAACAACATTCTAAAGACCTTCCCCACTACCTAGAGTTAAAAGGAACTTCTTACAAAGCTAATACTACCTCCATTTATTTGCTAATCATAAAAATAATCTACATGTTTTCATGGTTAATAATCAATCTCATAAGCAGCTGCTTAATCATCAAATATTGAGATCACTGTTATCAGATAGATAGTAAAATGAAAATACACACAAAAATACCCCCTAACTGAAACCACAGATTAAGATGTCTACATCACTGACACACCAATTCGGTCGTGTATTCTGTAGCGGTAAGTGTCCAGCAACTTCCCTTCCCAACATAAAAATTCATACATCACAAGCGAATCTCACAATCCTAACTAAAAAGCTTCCATAAAGAGGAATTAAGTAGATATAGCCAATACCACTTCCGTATGCTAACCATGTAAATTTAAAGGACTTAAGACGTGCCTAAATACCTTCTGAATCAAATACAATTCGCAAGGAAAAATACGGGGGGGGGGAGGTCTTCAAAAGTCCAATGGCTCAGCCACCACCCGGGTGGAATTTTCAGCTCAACTCCTCCCCCCCCCACCCCCATCCGCCGCCACCGAAAAGCTCGCAGGACCAAGGGCGACACGCAGCCCGGGGTCACTTCCCCCCTCCCTCCCTCCCACCCTGACCCTTCTAAATAATGTAAATTGGGCCCGAAGCACCCTCGGGGCGCAGGAGGCCGGGAGCGCGCGGCGGCTGACAATGGCAGCGGCGGCGACGCGCCATCTTGTAGCGGGGCCTGGCCCGAGCCATTCATTCGGCGCGGGGGCGCGGGGACCCCGGCCCGGCCCGGCCGCGGGGGTCGCCGCCGCCCGGCCGCCCGTGCCCCCCGCCCCGCCCCGCGGGCTCCGCACCCGGCGGGGGGGAAACGACGACGGGCTCGCGACGGGGCTGCTCCCACTTTTCGGTAAAAACGAAAATAGCCGAGGCTCGCACCGTTCGGTCCTCCCGCCACCGCTCTTTGTTTCTGCCTTAAATCCACCCCGAATTGCCACCCGCGGGCGGCCGCTGGCCGGGCCTCGGCTTCCTCATTTCACTGTCCCCCTTTCTTCATCGTGTCGCCAGCAAACACTAACTTCAAAGTCCCCAGAAAAGATGTATTAAAAACACAGCGTTTCTCCGAAGCCAGGGACGGGCACCTCAACCCCCTGCAGAACCCCGGACGCTCCCTTTGTTCTCGCGGCCGCGACCCGGCCGGCCTGCAGACCCCGGCCCAGCGCGCCTCCTCCCGGGCCAGCCTCCGGCGCACAGCCCCCAGGGAGGTCGGGCCGGATCGGACCTCGGACCCCGGACCCGGACCCAGGACCTGGGATCCCGGACGCAGACCCCGACCCAGGACCCCGGACTCCGGGTCCCAGACCGCGGACCGCGACTCAGGACCCAGGACCGCGGACCCCGACCCGGGACCCCAGACCTAGAACCCAGGACCGCGGGCCTGGAAACAAGGCCCCCCAGAACACGGATCGCAGACCCTGGCTCAGGGTCCCCGGCCCCCACCCCAAGACCCCAGCCTCTAGCCCCTCCGACCCTGGCCCCTGGGCCCGAACTCCGGACCCTGATCCCTGCGAAGAAGCCCAGACCCCGGCCGCACATCCCGATCCCGGACCTGGGACACCGGACCGCGGACCACAGCCCTGATCCCGGCCCCAGCCGAAGCCCGCAGGGTCCCCGCCCGCTCCCGGCCCGCGACCCCACCCGGGCGGGGCAGGAAGACGCGGCCGGGCGGCGGAGTGGGGGCGGGGAGGGTGGGGGCGGGGCGGCTCCGGCTGGCGGCTGCGGGGAGGGGCCGGGGCCGGGGTCTCCGGGCAGGGGCAGGGGCTGCTGCGCTCACCTCGTCCTGCCTGACGCGCCCGCGCCCCGCCGCCTCAGCCGCCTCAGCCGCCGCTCTGGAGGTGGTCGCGTTCGGGCCGCTCCGCGGGCGCTGTGGGCAGGTGCGCCGGCGAGGCTCGGTCCGGTCCCGCGGCGGCTGCTCCACTCCCGCGCCCGCGCCCGCTCCCGCTCCCGCTCCCGCTCCGCCGCCGCCTCCGTCCGCCCCTCAGACGCCTCCAGCCATCGGGATGGGCGCGGCGGCCCCTGCCCGCAGCCTCGGGAAACCCCACGCCGCGTCACCGCGCACGTCGCGCGCGCACGCAGGGCCCGGCCTCGGCCCCGGCGCGCGCACGCTCGCGCGCTTCCTCCCTGCGCCCACCCCGGGAGCGTGCGCGAGCGGCTTAAAGGGGCCGCGCGGGCTGTAGGGGAACCCGCTGCGGAAGGACCCCAGGCCTGGTCCGCCCCTGGCCCGGCACTGCGCCGGGCTCTCTGCGCTAGCGTGGGCCTGCCTGCCGCCGACCCGCTCGCTTCCCCGCCAAGCGGATGTGGGTGGAGGCCGCAGGACCGGAGGGGGGACCCTCTGGACCCCGCACCCGGGTCCCATACACGCATCCCGAACACGTGTCCAGTGCTCCCGCCTGGCGTTCAGTACCCAGCACCTGTCCTCCGCACCCCGCGTTCGGCACCCCACATCCGCACTCTGCACGGAACCCACATGTGCACACACCCAACCCAAGCCAGCCCTCGGGCCTGGGGGTGCAACCCAGCTCACCAAATCCCAGAGGGATCCCTGCCAACCTGGTCCGCCTCCGCAGATGCCCAGCCTCTGCTCGCCCGGGACTGGATCCCCGCCTCCCGGTGGACCGGGCCAGTCCTCGGAGACGCCCGTGGGGGCTTGTGTGAGCTTGGGCATGCGTGGGCAGTGTGGCCTCGGGAGGCCAAGCCCAAGGCACTTGGGAATGGCCGCCTGGCCAGGGAGGTGTGACCACGGAAAAGGGTGTCAGGAGGGAAAAGGATGGTCCGACCTCTGCGAATGCCGCTGAGAAACGAAGCTCCTCCGGTGGCGTCAGGAACGGGGATGACATGGGTCATATGTAGGCAGCCTGTACACACCCCCGGGAAAGTCAGTGGAACAGCCCCCAACCCCGCCACCTCTTTCTCTCCAGCTGACCCCTACTCCCCAGTTGCAACGACTAGGCACCAACTGGCTTCCTCCCTGAGGAGCCTGCAGTCCCTGACCCTAACCGCCCCGGGTCAGATGCGCCTCTGCGCCTGCTAGCCTGCGTGTGTCCTTCCAGCGCGCAGCGCGAGCCTTCCCACCCAGGTTGGGCTGCATTCCCTGTCCCTTCCCCTCCCCCTCCGTGGGGCCTTCCTAGCGGCATTCAAGTGCGTCCCCGTCGCTCTTGGAGCCCTTCCTACGCTCCTGGCACAGGACGCTCCAGGCTCAATTTAGACCCTCCCTGCCCAGCCCTGACTCAGCCGTTTCTGCAAGAAGTCCTGGTTCCTTTCACTGGGGAGTGGTGCTTAGAAGCCAGGATCGGGGCTGCAGGTGTGCTCACTGCGACGGGGTGCCAGTGCTTCAGCAGCAGAGGCTGGGGACGTGTGTATGCACAAGCACACGTGTATACGCGCGCACACACGAAGTACTTCCCACCCCCCCGCCCAATGTAACCGATCTCCCATGATTGCCGCCACCTCACCCTCCTCACCCACGTGGGCTCTGACCTCCATTGGGTCACCACAGTCCCCATGCCAGCAGGGATGGCCACCTTGCTTAGCAGACATGACAGTTCCCATTGCCCCTCCCACAATATCCAGGCTCCTCTGCCCTTGCTGTTCTGCACTCTAACTCCTCTCTGCACCTTAATCACACAGGTCACCACATCCAGCCTCTGACCTTTTGCCTTTGTGGCTCTGCGGTCTCCCCCATAACCTCCAGCCGCCTCCACAGAGAGGCCTCCCCCAGTCTCTGCCCCTTTGTCCTTCCTCAGTGGCTTGCTGGCTCCATTTCTCTTCAGAGCTCTCATTCCTGAGACCTCACGTGGTTCATTCGTGGGCTGCTTTCTCCTTGCCCGTCTCCCCGGCCGAAGATGGCCCTGTGACTCCTTGCCCACTGCTCTGCCTGACAAGCAGGGCACGAGGCGCACGGCGGGTCCTCGGGGAACGTTTATGGGATGGGTGCAAGGCGTGTGGGTGAGGCTCTGTGTTCTGAATGAGAGGGACGAGACCCAGCATGAGGACCAGAGGATCGCGGGAGGGGGAGGCTCGCAGCCGAACGGTCACAGTGTCCAGGACGAGGTGCTGGGGGTTCTGCGGCGTTCCCCACTGCTCCAGAGGAGGGGTGCGTGATGCCACATTGGGAAGATGAGTGTCCTGGGCGTTGGCAGGTGCGTCCCAGAAGCACTGGACCCAAGGTCACAGACTCAGGGTCGAGACCTTCCTCTGAATGCACCAGGTCTGATGCCAGCCGTCAGTGCGCACCTAGGCCCAGGACTTAGAAAAGTGGAAATGTGGAGGGAGAAGAGGAAAACGAGGCAAGAAAGGAGGGGGAAAGGAGGGGGAAAGGAGGAGGAGGAGGAAGGGGGGGAGGGGGGCTAGGGCCAGCACCGGAGCAGAAGGAAACGGGCAAGAGAATAGTCTCTGTGGAGACCTGAGTACTCCTTCGGGGATGGGAGGAGGCGTGGGGGACCCTCAGAACCCCCCCCGGCACCAGCCTCGATCCCTTCGTGCCTTCCCAAGGTCCATGGTGGGCACCAGGCTGCAGGCCTGACTGGGCAGCAGGGGCAAGGGCAGGGCTGGCTCAGCGCTCTCCTATCCCACAGGCACCGCAGGCCGGACTGGGCCCACTCCCAGCTACACCAAGGCCACAGAACAAGGCCACACGTGAAGACACCAGGCCACTGCCTGCACCAGCTGTGAGGTTTGGGGTGTAGGCGTGGAGCCCCAGCTAATCTGTAGGTCTGCAGGGCAGGGCAAGCCCTTCCCTGGAACTTGCCCTGGGGCCCAGGCCCGGAACCCTCTTGTACGGGTTTCTGGGTGAGTGTGAGGGCAAAGTTGAGGGGAAGGCAGGAAGGAAGGAGGAGGGAGCCCTGGGTCCTCATTTCCAGATCTCGCACACAGCCCAGGGCCTCACCCCCTTCAAAGTGCGGAAGCCACGGGGGCCCAGGAGCCTTCTCCCCACTCGAGTCCCCAGGGAGCAGAGCCCTCTCGCCCTAGGGACGCCGGTCCTGGTCAGCTCGCAGGAACCCAGCGAGCTTCTAGCTTGCAGCCAGAGCCCTTTGGACCTCGAGGGGAGGAAGCACATTCTGGGGAGCCTGCCCTCCCTCCCTTCTGCTCTGGCCTTCTGCCGTCCGGGCCCCCATCTGCTGCCAGCACCCTCCTCAGTGGGGCATAAATCAGGGCCCATGGTGGCCCCACTGCCACTGCCTGGAGAACTTGTGCCTTGATGGCCAAGAACTTAGGCTTCTCCTGATTTCCTGGTGACACTCCCTCCTTCTCTAGATAAGTGGCTTAGAGATCAGCCTGAAGTCCTGAGTCCAGAGCCACGCCTGCCAGCCGCGCCCCGCCCTTGGCAGGGCGAGCAGGGCCCGAGGGTGCAAGCGGCTGGCCCGGTGCCTGGCTCGGGGCCCAGCCTTCACTAAGAACCTGGGGTGTGCGAATGCGGTGTTCAGATGCCCCCGCCCCATGGACTCTTTAGCAGGAAATCGTCTGACCGGAAAGTAGGTCTTGTTAAACGTGAATTGTTCACACAGTCTGTGCACGTGACCAGGACCCGCGCTCAGGGGCTCCAGGCCTGGCTGTGAAGGGTCTCCGGGCCCCCTTCCTGCGGGGCACTGTCTGTTCCTCCACCACAAAGCCATCCCGCCCTCCCTTCTAACAGGTGAGCCCGAGCCTGGCCCTGTCCCCTGGCCTCAGAGGACAGCACTGCGACAAGGAAGGGAGGGAGAGGTGCAAATGTAGGTAATCCAGAAGTGCTCGTTCGTTCTGCCGCTGCCAGAGGCAGGGCCTGGTGACAGAACGGGGTCAGGAGAGTGAGGAAGCCTGCCCCTCCTTCCTTCTCTCAGCAGACACGTCCCCAAGTGCCCACAGGTGCCAAGGAGACTCGGGTCCCTGACCACGGGCCCACTCTGACATGGGTGCCTGAAGGGAGAGCCTGGCTCCATCCGGGGCCCTAGTTGCCACAGGTGAGCCAAACAGAGGCTTTCTGTGTCATTGGTGCAGTGAGGCACCTTTGGTTGAACCTACAAACCCCTCTAATAGAGAAAAATGTGACCATTTTGGAGGAGTATCCCACACATGTACCCCAGAAATGTGTGTCCCCACAGATGTGCACTAAGTGTACACGTGCCGGGGGCCCCAGTCAGGCTCGGGGGAGCAAGTAGCAGAAGCTTAAACCAGTTGATGTGAAAAGAGGTTATTGACTCGCTCAGGGGATGTGTCTGCGAGCAGATGTCTGGGCTTCAGGGATGCATTGACCCAGGCGCTCGGTCAGGCTGTCGGGACTCCCCTCCTGGGTCTGCTTCCCCAGTTCTGGCGCCTCCTTTTCTCTCTCTCTGCCTGAGACAGACTGTGGCGATGAAGGCCCATCTTCCTACGTCTCCAGCTTAGCAGTCACGGCGCTCCCAAGACCGAGATATCTGTGTTGACCTCAGGAAGGCTCTGAAGGGCCTCAGTCACGTTCGTGCGGCCCTGAAGGCAGGGAAGGGAGGGGCCACAGTTCATGTCCCGTTGGGGCACCACGCAGCACCCAGAGCACAGGCAGGTGTGTCACCAGGAGGAAGAGGGCTTCTGGACAGAGAAAGACACAGGGGCCCTCCCTGCCTCCTGGCCGAAAGCAGGGTTTGGGCAACGTTTGGGCTGCTTATAAAGGAAGCCTCCGTCGGTTGCCTGGTTCAAGGCTGCAGAGGCTCCAGTTCGGGCTCCTCCTGGCGGAGGCGCATCTGCCCCAGCCCCTGGCCCACCCCGGCCTGGACCTGCGTGCTGGGGACAGAGCCCCGCTTCCTTGGCTGCTCTGCCCCCAACCCCAAAGCACCCTCTGGGGTCGCCTGGGGCAGCGGCATCAAGGGGACGGTCAGTGCTCCCACCAGCCCAGCCGCGTTTCCAGTCCTGGCCTGGGTGGCTCGCTCGGCAAGGAGGCCCCCGTGGGTCCCCACAGGCCTTCCCCCAGCCACCTGCAGAAAGCTAGGCGGTCGCCTGCCGGCCAACCCGGACCTACCGCAGCTGCCAGCCATGTCCCGGGGCAACCTGGGCGCACACCTGGGCCCGGGCTGGGAGCACTCACCAGAGGCCAGGAAGATGTGATGCACGCTTAGGAAGAGACCAGGGTCAGAGAGGGCGCACCCAGACCCTCCCGCCCACGATGAGATGAAAGAGGGGAAGCCAGAGGCACAGAGCCCAGCATGGATGGGGTCTGGGAGAGGGGACCTGCCGGGGGGGGGGGGCTGGGGGTGGCCGCTGCCTCAGCCAGGCCTAGGGAATCCGGGCGCCCCCTCGGCCCTGGCCTGGCCAAGCCTCCTGTGTTGAGGTGCCACAACGGGCCTGAGGCTGCTTGGCAAGGGGTCCCCGAGGCCAGGCAGTGGGGACATAGCCCCGGTGTTGCACACGGCAACGTAGGCCACCGCGGCTGGGTGGGCTGCAGGCCGGTGCAGGGCGACTAGCCTGACACCCCCCCAGAGGGGGGCAGCCTGCACACCACCCCCTCCCCCAGTTTCTGCCTCAGACATGAGCAGGAACTGTTGGAGGTGTGGGGGGCGGATCACAGGGACTTGTCCAGGGAAATGGGAGGGGGCTGGTCTCCACTCCCCCCGCCCTGCCCCTGCCGGGGCCCTGCCTGGGGGAGGGGGCACCGGGTCTGTTCAGGGGATTCATCTCCCCGTGGTCGGCGCCCTGGGACTCAGCTCCACCAGCACCTGCCAGGTAAACAGCTTGCACCTGTGGCGCCAGTAGGCGGGGGGGGGGGGGGGGGGGGGGGGGGGGGGGGGGGGGGGGGGGGGGGGGGGTGCGGCCGGTGCCTGGGGGCGCCTGCCAGGCCTTCCTGAAGCCACTGCCCTGTGTCGGGCAGCCCCTGGGCAGCCTTCCCTGGAGCTGGGGAAGCAGACAGAGCCAGGACAGCAGCACAAAGGGAAGGCGTGTGGTCTGAAGCCACGCGGGTCCGGAGCCAGGCCACGTTACGTGCCGTGCGACATCACGTCCGCCGCATCACCTACTGAGTCGTGCCACGTTACGTGCCACATCTGCCACCCGTGCGACCTGGGTTTTGACGCAGTGGCACACCCTGGCCCCTGGGCTCCTGGCCAGAATGGCCCTTTCTTCTGGGCCTGGATCCTGGTTATCGTCCCAATTGCCTCTTGGCCTCTTCTCAGGCAGGACGTCCTCTGAGGAAGGACCGTTCTCTCCAACAAAAAGACCCCCCAACACGGCCCCTCCCACGAGGGGGCAGGGAGCGGCACCACGGCCCAAGCGCCCCTGTTCCCACCGCACCCCCAGCTCAGCCCAGAGCACAGGGTCTCCATGAAGTCCCTGCTCACAGGGCACCCCCTGTTCCCCTAACCAGACGGGGAGACCCTCAGAGGATTCGGCCACACTGGCGTTTTGTTTTAAAGTCACGGTAAAATACACATAACGTGAAATGTAGCAATTAGACCCTAGTGAGTGCACAGTTGATTGGCATGGAGTATATTCACGTCACCCACCGTTGCAACCGCCACCTCATTCCAGAACATTGTCATCAGCCCAGAAGGAAACCCCGTGCCCATCAAGTCGTCACTTTCCGTTCCAGCCCCCCATCTGCTTTCCGTATCCATCGGTCTGCCTGCCACAAGTACTTCACAGGGGCAGAACCGCCTTCCCCGAGACCTTCAGTGTGTGGCTTCTCTCCAGGTTCAGCCACGACGCAGCAGTCAGTGCTCCACAGCCGTCTGTGGCTGAGCGACTCACGGGCAGACACACCACCCTCGGTCTCTCTGTTCACCGCGGACGGGCATTCGGACTGTTGGCACTTTTTGGCCATCGTGATGAGAGCGGCCATACACGTCAGCGTACACGTTTCTGTTGGAACACCTGTTTTTAGTTATTTGGGGGTATTTATCTAGCAGTGGAGCTGTGGGGTCACGCCGAGCTCTGTGTCTGTCTGGAAGGTCCACCAAACTATCTCCTACGCAGCTGATCGATGTTAGGTTCTTAGCCCACAACACAGGGTTCCATGTGCTCCACATTCTTGCCGACACCTGTTACCTTCTGCCTTTTTGATTCTAGCCGTCCGAGTGGCTGGGAAGTACTGGCTCCTTGTGGTCTGATTTGCATTTCCCTAGTGAAGAATGATGTTGAACTTCTTTTTGTGTGCCTCGTGGCCATGTGTGTATTTTCTTCGGAGGAATGTCTCCTCTAGATCTTTGCCTTTTTTTTTTTGTTTTTTGAATATTTATTTTTGAGAGAGAAGGAGAGACAGAGCATGATC